GAAAGAAGGAAGGAAGGTGGGAGGGAAGGAGGGAGGGAGGGAAGGAGAGGGAGACAGAAGGCAGAAAAGGAAAGAAGGAAGAAAGAAAGAACAAGAAGAAAGAAGGGAAGGAGGAGGAGGGAAGGAAGGAAAGAGGGAAGGAGGAAGGGAGGAAGAAAGAAAGAGAGAAAAAGAGAGAGATTGATGGATGGATGGATGGATGGATGGATGGATGGATGGATGGATGGATTTAAAGAAAGAATTCTCCAGCCAGCATCAGGGTGGGCACTGGTGGTTGAAGGCCTTGTCATATGGTGCTCCAGGACCCTGGGAGCAGAGGTGACTCATGCCTGTCATCTTAGCTCTCAGAAGGCTACAGCAGGAGGATTATTGCAAGTTCAAGACCAGTCTGAACTACACAGCAAAGCCTTGTATGCTAAAACACTAAAACAAAACTAAAAGAAAATCAAAGAGGAGCTTACGACATACTAAGCTATGGACTCTCGGGCTCCTGTAGAATGTTCCCTTCCCGATGTCTCCATGAACTCTCACTCCTACCTCATAGGAATTGGAAGCAGCCCCTGGCCACTTGTTCAGAGCATGCTTAGTGCCACCTGCCTTCACTTTGCCTCTTACCTTGCCTGGTGGGTGCTCGCTGCCAGTCTTCACCAAATGCATCTCCTAAGTGTCTTCCCTGGTAATAAGTTTGCTCTTTTCCTGCAAACTAGAGACACATGCTAATATTCAGAAAGAAAGAATTGTCTTCTCGGTCTCCATCTTTGTGAGCAACAGTGTCATGGGTAGGGCTTTTATGGGCTGATACATCCTCTCTGATACCCACCTTTCCATCCCTGCCTCACAGTGGCATTGCGTTCACAACCTTGCATGGTTGTGAAGTAAACTGACAATCTCATTAATGCTACAACATTTCTCCTTGTTCTTGTGACCCCCATAGTTCCTCTCAAGGGCAACCACAGAGAAAGATCTTGTGCCAGCAGCCATCCATTCTCAAAGAAACACGCTCCCTGAGAACCAGGAAGCTGCAGTGTCAGAGCCTTGATGTCAACGCTGCTATTGGGTGTTGACACTTTTATTGGCACAAATAACCTCAAAAATATCCAGAGTTGGAGGCGTAGCTCAGCTCACCAGGCACAAGACTCTGGGTTCCATTTCTAGCACCACAAAAGAAAAAAAACTCATTGAAGCTTCTATGAACGATGGAGATGTAATCGTTTTTGGAAGCGATTTTGAATTAAAAGTTGTTTGAGTTGGAGGGTCTGATGGTTTGTTTTCATTGACAGCTTGACCCAACCTAGAAGAGATGAATCTTGGAAGAGAGTCTCGATGAGGGATCGTCTACATTCAGTTGGTCTGTGGGGATATCAGTGGGGGATCTTGCCTTTTAAATAAGTTGATGTGGAAAGACCAGGCCCACTGTACCTGCACCTATCCCTAGGCAGGGGGAGCCGAACTGAATAAGAGTGGGGGAAGTGAGGTGAGCACAAGGGAGCATGAGAGTGTTCACACACACGCACACGCGCGCACACACATCTCTGCTCTTGACCATGGTTGTGATGTGACTTGTCACTTCACGCTCCTGCCCTGTGACGTCCCCAACAGTGATGGACTGTAACCTGGTACGGTACACTACCGAAAGCACTTGGTCCCCTCAGTTGGTTAGCTTGACAGTGTTTATCACATTATCACAGCAATTGAAATGAAACTAGAACAGAGCAAGGGATAAACAAGATAGAAAAAAAAAATCTTATACTTTGAGAGGATGGGTCAACTCTTTTCAGGGACTCCACAGTGTCCTGGGCCTTTTAAAAGTCTCAAATCCTGCTATCCCCTCATTAAGAGCGCAGCATACCGGGACTGATGCTAAGATTTACGGTGTCATTATTCGTGTTGGAGACAAGTGATGTCACACTGTGAAATTGGGGGAAGAGAGTCTTCCAGCCATAGTGTCAAAAGCCACGTGAGATATCAACCAGAAATAACCCTGAAGAAGGTGAATGCAAAAGAGGACCAGCCTCCTCCCAGGAAGAGAACCACAAACTTACCTGGGCTGTATCAGGAGCGTGGGGTCTGGCTTTCAATCTAGCATCGAGGAACCCCCCTGGAGGAGGCATCTTGCTAGGAACGCTGTTGTAGTATGGGTGATCAACGCCGTCTCCTTCTTCTTCAGCCCATGGCTCATCCAGACTCTGCATTCTGTTAAAAGATTTTCAGTGACCTTCACCCAAAACTGATCAAAGCAATAGAGCCAATGGATCTAACATCAGTGTTGACTACAGAAACAAAGCCCTGGGCGTGGTTTAAGTGTGGCCTCCAGCACACATGGCTTGTTGGAGGCTTGGTCCCCAAGGTGGTAGTGTTAAAAGGTGGTGGGACTTCTAAGACTCAGAGTCTCTCAGTCACAAATGAGACATTGACATGGACCCATCAGGAGATAACTAAAAACAGACACATAGATTGTTTAGTTCAGATACGTGAGGTAAGTTCTAGCTCTTGAGCCTGTCAGAGACCTGCTGGATTTGGCATTTACTATGTTTAAGCTTACTATGACAGGCAGACTCTCAAATCCTAATGGCAACCCCCTACAAGGTCTCCAAAAAGATATAGGCATGACAACAAAGGACTCCACCTGGATTGTGGTATGATAACCACTGGGCATGACTGCCTCATTGCTTCACTAATGGCTAGGGTCTGAACTACATACAAAGAGAAGCACCCAGGGAGCTAATTGTCCCATGTTGCCTAAGACAAGGCAAGGTCAATCTCTCCCATGTTCCTTTCCCACAGAAAAAGCCTCTCATCTTCTGGGCATCATGGCCAAAGACTGCCTCTGCCCACAGTGCCATGGAGACCATAGGAACCTGGGACAACTGTCTAGGTAGTGGACTATGGACTAGTCTCTGCCATTTTAATTAATAGATAGGCCATTTAGATTATAATTTATTCTTCTCAGGTCTCTGAGCACACTGATGGCTAAGTTAAGTACTTGACAGCTAGAAAATAACAGGCAACTAGCTCCTTACCCCAAGGTAATCCACCTCCATGTTAATCAAAAAGGCAAACAGGTTTGCCTTGCTCGCAGGCTTCATGTTTAAAGATAGACAGGGTTCAGATGTAACATTTTTACTATTCCTTATCTAAAGGAACTCGCTTCCCAGTGACTGCTCCCAGTGATCAACCACCTGTGTCTCATTCACGGTAAATAATTGGATAGGAAAAAGGTGTAAATTTTATGTAAGGTCTGAGGATACAGAAGCATAAGTTATGAGGATCTAAGAAAGTATTTTAGGGTCTAAGAGGGTGTCTTAAGGTAGGTGAATGCCAGTGAAACCTTAAATGCTGATAAAAAGTGATTTGAGGCACATGAAAGGAATGAAAAATGCTTCAGTGGGGCTGGAGAGATAGTTCTTCCAGAGTTCCTGAGTTCAATTCCCAGCAACCACATGGTGGCTCACAGCCATCTATAAGGGGGTCTGATGCCCTCTTCTAGTATGTCTGAAGACAGCAACAGTGTACTCATATACATTAAATAAAAAACAAACAAACAAACAAACAAATCTTTTTTTAAAAAAAGAAAATAAAAATGCCTCATATTTCTCCCCCTCTTTATGGTACAGCTGTATTAGAACATCAGAAGTTCAGAGTTCTAACATAAATCAATGGAATTCTGATAGATTATTAATCTAACTCTGGTAACCCCTTCCACTATACAATACACTGTCCTAGTTGCAAGTTTAAGATTTTAAGTTTCCTTTGGCTGTCTTTTAAGTATAGACTTAAAAATGTTTCTCATGGTGCTAAGTCTATGTACAGCTAGTCATCTGGAGAGAGGGAAGAAGGCCCTCTTTCACTCTCTGTAGTCATACTGAAAACCAAGAGCAGATGAGCCTTTGCTCTTTCTGCTCCACAGAAGGTTTCTGTCTTTGCTCACCTCACCTTAAGGAAGGTTCATGCTTTTAACTGAAAAACAACTGTTTCCCAAGCCTCTGCTATGATACAAGGCATGAGTCTACTGCCTTTTTACAATGTGGGTTTCACCACACATTACAATGGTGATGCTAGCCTGTCTGAAATGTCTCTCTTTTTGTAAACTTAAAAAGATTCTCATAAGGTTCAGAGAATTCACTTAGATCCACATCTCACAGGTCAAACGGACTCCAGATAAGTAACCTGTTGATCAATAGCCCAAATTTCCCACCTGTTGCCTATTCTAGAGGGTGGGATTCCTCCCCTGTTCCCCCAACTACCATGGGCCTAAAAGTTTCAAATGTACACCTAAGAAAAATATTTCTCCCTAACCTTTATCTTCTGAATGTGTGTGTGTGAATATGTGTGTGTGTGTGTGTGTGTGTGTGTGTGTGTGTGTGTTCCAGTATCTTGCCAAGTCCAGGTATTTTCTTGAGATCTGCATCCAGGAAGGCACCAGAGCAGCTACCCACAGGTGCTCTGGTCTAGCTCTGGTCTACCCTCACAGATGCTTCAACTGGGCCTTCACTTCCCTAGCCACAGATATTCTCACAGATCCTGGACAAGACTGCAACAGCTCTCCCAGGATTTGGCCAGCATCCTAATTTTCTTAGCACCCCCCAAAATGACATCACTGCCAGTCAGCAGGAAGCAGTCTAAAGAACACGGAGACCTCACTCCTGCTCCACCATCATCCCTTCCTAGTTCTTCATTTTTTATTAAACCAAAAGGGAGGAGTGGTAGCTTACAGGTGATTCCATCAGGCTCCTCCAGGGACCTAGCAATGACTTCTGTCATCACCTGCCACCACTGCATGCTCTCTCTCTGTCTCTCTGTCTCTCTGTCTCTCTGTCTCTCTCTCTATGTCTCTCTCTCTCTCTCTCTCTCTCTCTCTCTCTCTCTCTC